GATGGCCCTTGTGGCCTCTTCCAACTCTATGATTCTATGATTCTTCTATGATTCTAGATTATATTAGCACTCTGAATGACTTTCCTATCTTTAAATGGAGTTGCTATAATAATTTGTCTCTTTAAGCCACTGGTGGTTGCTGCTTAACAAGGATCTCTAACTGCTACATACACTCTCAATCAGGTTAATGGAGCCCAGACTTTTGTTTTTGAGAAATCTGTGAATGGGTTAAGGTAAAGCAAAGAACCAGGCCATGTGTGACAACAAAGAGGCATGAGGATCTCCTGGAGTATTGAGCTGACAATCCTCAAATTTACAGGGACAAATTTCTCAAGGATTTGCAGGATGCAACTTGAATTGGTAAGAACCCAGCTCCTGGATGTCATGGAAGAGAGGCTGATGAAAGCAGAGAAGGTCCCAGATTGGGAGACTAACAACCTTGAGGTTCATTGTTTCATAGCCAGCATTCCTACTGAGGAGCCATACAGGTCTGCTTGGAATGAGAAAATGGCTACATCAATCTTAGAATATCTTTAAAAGATGCACAAGAAATCAGATACCAATCAGCATCTTTCAGTGCTATACCAAATAATTTGTGTACCAGTGGAGCCTGGTGAAACAGTTCAAGAATATTTGTTGAATGTAAAAGAAATTATGGGTGAATGAAAGAATATTAAGTGGGAATTAATGAGGATTTGATCACTGCATGCATTTTCAAGGAACTGTTGAAAAAACTTTGAGAATTTGGTGATGGCTTTGAAAGCTCAATCACAGGAATTGCAACTTGGCAGAGAAAAAATGGTAAATCTGAGAAAAAGGCATACTTTCCCTTTGCAACAGATTTGGTTTTAAGACCTAAAATGCAGTTCCAATCCTACCCCATGTAGAAAAACAGTTTGTGCATCTAAATATTCAACATACATCTTTCTTGCTGCTGCATGCTTTCTTAATTTAGTGCATTTCACAACTGGTGCAAAAGTCAGATCATAATTCTCTCCAAACTATTGTGAGTATCCTTTGACAACTAATCTGGCTTTGTATCTTGAAGACCCACTTGCATCTCACAATATTCTTTCCCTGTGGAAGTTCTGTAAATGCCCAAGTTTTGTTCTTGTGCAGTGACTCAGTTTCTTCTTCTGCACCTTTTCTCCTTTTCTCCCTCTCTCTCTCTTTTGCTGGCATCTTATCTAATTCAGCCCAGATGGATGGTTCTGGCACTTCTTCCAATGTTGCAAGGTAAAGTAGTTTTCTTTGGTGCTTTTCCTTTATTAGACCTGTCTGAGCATCTGAATTGCACCAGAGTGAACACTATTTTCTTTTTGGGAGAAGAGTGAGGCAAAGAAGTTAGGCAGTTCCAACTTCTCTCTGTCCCCAGTTAACCCTCCCCCCATTTGTACAAGTAATAATGGGTTTATATTTTAAAAACCCAAGTAAGATCATTCCATCCTGGAGCTGTTGTGAGGACAAAAAATAAAAAGGGAGGGGAGAATTATGACACTCCCATTTTTTATTTGAAATATGTTTATTTAAAAGTTACAGAAATGTAGAGTGATCAGATTGAATGGCTACCAAATGTACTTCAGAATGGACATCCTGGATCAAAGTTTGGATGAAGAAAGCGAATACACTGACTTGATCTCACACTCTGTTAGATGGACAATTTCCGATATTCCAGAAGTTGACCTCCTCCATTCCTTTGATTTAGACAAGACACATAAGTAATCCAGTACAAGTATATGGCATAGAAATAAACAAAACTAGAGTCACTTACCTTGGTCAGAAGAGCCATATGCTTTCATTGTCAGTAGTATGTTGTGCTGGAAGAAAAGATGTGCAGACTCCACCTCTCTTTATAGCCACCTGTTTTTCCACTTAGGAGTATCACACTAGGATCCAGGGCATTGGTCTTTAAGTATGCAGAACTTTGGGCTGGTGAAGACAGTTTTGTATCTTGTGAGTAGATGAGGATATTTACAGCTAGCCCTGTGGGAAAACATAACGTGTGGGTAAGTTGATACATTTTTTTGTTTCTATTTATGGCTCACATTCTTTTCTGTTTCTTCTTTCCTTCTTCTTTTCTTTCCCTGTTTGTTTTTCTCCAGTATGTGTGTGCAGAGATAGGCAAGTAGAATTTCACATGTACAAAGGATATTTCAGTTCATTTCTCCTTAGCTTTGTCTTTTGCATCTATTGCTAACTTTTCTACATGCATAACCTTAAGATTGTTTGCTTCATCACTTTGTAAAATTCTTTTATCTTAGTTTCAGTAAAATTGTGCAGATATAATTTCCTAAATATTTTTTTTGTCTTGCTCTACTAATACGACTTTAATTAACATTCTGGTTGCTTCTCATCTTGATTACTGTAATGTGCCTCTCTTTGCTCTACTAACGTTCCATATTCAGCCTGCTATTTCTGTTTTGCATTCTTCTTTCTTTAAAGCTCTTTTGTTTCACTGGTGCTTCCTCTTTTCAAACTATTTTCAGTGAGTCTTGCAATGCCTCCAGGTTTGACGAGGTCCCTACCTTAACCACGTAACCATCAAGAACTTACTTCAGCCCATATGTCTTCATGATAAAATACTGTAATGCATAAACAACAGTGTTATGCCTTGTTGGAGGTTATCAAAATATATTCGTAGCTGTTCAATGGTCATTAGTGCATAGGCTCAACTGAATTCTGTAGTGAGTATGTAGATGCACCCCAAGTAATTTCCAACTTATGGTGACTAGGGTGAAGGTATCATGGGGTTTTCTTGGCAAGTTTCTTCAGAAGGGGTTGGCCATTGCCATCTTCTGACACTGAGTGAGTGTGACTTGCCCGGGGACACCCATTGGTTTCATGGCCGAGCAGGGATTCAAACCCTGTTCTTAGGAGTCATAGTCTAGTGATCAAACCACTACACCATGCTGGCTGTCAGCTGAGTTCTAGTAAGAGCCTATTTTGATACCAAACAGCATGTTCTCTGGGTTCCTTTGGTTTCTATATATCTCAAGACTTCTCTTTAGTCTATGATATATCCCATGCAGTGTTTTAATACCAAATGTAAGTTTTCTTTCTCAAGAAAAGCTAGACTAAACTTACTCTTCTTTCCACAAGTGATACACCCACAACCGATACTTGCTGCAAGAATATGCACTATTATGTGCCACAAATAACTTATTCACTATTGCTATGATAGGATTCAATAATATACATGCAGTTTTTATATTATATATGAAGTTTGTTAGCTAGGAGCAGAACAATACTGATTTTCCTGCAGTAACTCAGGAGTAAAAAACAACAACACCTTGTATACTGATGACTTTATTTATCTGGTTGGGTTGGGGTTTTCTTTTGTTAGATTTGTGCACTGTTCAATAGTCTAATTTTTTTCCAAGTACCATTATTCACATTGAAATAACAGTGGTAGATTGAAACAATATATATTTTATTTTTCAGTATTAACATAATGATAATTAACATGATCAAAAATGGTAAGAGTTTATGCTATGGGAAAATTAATGGAACTCTTTCAGCCTCAGAGGAAACAAAAGCAAACCACCTCTGAACAAATTTTGCCCATGATAGGTTCACCTTAGGGATACTTTAAGTTGAAAATGACTAGGGACACCATATGTCGGAAATGAAATACAACAATTATTCATTCAGTGAAGAAATCCCTAATTGTTCATGTTGAAATAGCTGCATTGTTGAAGACAGTCTCTTGATTATATTGAACCTCTATTTAGTTTGTTTGGAAATTATTCAATTTTATTTCACTGCTAACTAAAGAGACATTATTGTGTATTTCATGCTTATTTTAATAAAATATACACCAGTGCATAGCTACCAAGGCATATAGTATTGACTTTTCTCAATAAAAATGGCATTTACTTTTTTTTAAAAAATAAACATTAAAATAAATAAATAAAATAAAAATGGCATTTACATAGGGTCTTTACAGACTGCCAGAAATAATGCAGCTTGAGACCACTTTAACTGCCTTGGCTCAGTGCTATGGAATCATGAGAACTGTAGTTTATTGTGGCACCAGAGCTTCTTGAGTACCCAGCTTGTTGGGGGGCAATCAGCTCACAGTTGTAAACCGCTTAGACATCCCATAGCGCGATATGAAGCGGTATATAAATAAGCTGCTTTGCTTTGATAGAGAAGGCACAATATCTCAGAAAAAACTACAATTCACATGATTCCCTAGCATTGGGCCAGGGCAGTTAAACTGGTCTCAAGCTGCATTATTTCTGGCAGTCTGTAAAGACCCTTAGTTCAAATAGAACTTAATACCAGTTTGCAAACTCCTGCAAGAGAAGAAAATGTAAGTGGAATAATATTGTATACATATATAACAGGAACACTACTATTTACATGCTTCAAAATATTATACAATCTTTAGTAATTTAGTATTTTTTAAGACAAATTATGTATGCTAAGGAATTCAAAGATATAGCAGTGCTGGTCTGTAGAATCAGTATGTAGAGAGATTTGTAGCACCTTTGAGACTAACTGAAAGAAGGAAGCTGGAAGTATGAGCTTTCGTAGATTTACTGTAAGTCTACTTCCCAAACGCATCTGAGGAAGTAGACTTAAATCTACGAAAACTCATGCTGCCAACTTCTTTCTTTCAGTTAGTCTGAGGTGCTACAGGTTCTCTTTACATACATGTGCTAAGGAAGTGAATGAAGTACAACAGATAATAAGATGAGTACATGAGTTGATTGTTATGAAAACTTTTTGTTCATTAAATAAGTGATGCAGAGCACATGGCCCAATTTTGCATGTCCTTGCCAATCCCTGCCTGTGCATGGAGGCTGGAGAAATATTTAGTTGTAGTTTTCAACAATATCCTATCCGATGTGAAGTCGTAGGCTTTCATGGCCGGCATCCATATTTTTTGTGGGTTTTTTGGGCTGTGTGGCCATGTTCTAGAAGAGTTTCTTTCTGACGTTTCGCCATGTGGCTGGCATCTTCAGAGAAAGATGCCAGCCACAGATGCTGGCGAAACGTCAGAAAGAAACTCTTCTAGAACATGGTCACACAGCCCAAAAAAACCACAAAAAATATCCTATCTGGTAGAGTGGCGGGGAGAGATTGATTTCTTCACTCTGTTTTTGTGGTATAATGCCAGTCTGGGAGTGGAGATCGAGCTGTAACTGTGCAGGTCTCCCTTATTTGATCTTTGAGACACAAGACACATATGAGCTGAGTTTTCTTTCCAATACGGAAAAAAAGTTTCAGGACAGAATTTACTGTATTGAGAACCTGATTAATTTTTCACCATACCTTCTTCCTGATTATGTTCTCTAGTGTGTCTCATAAAAATAGTGAGATGTTTTAAAATTCAACAGAGTAATTACCAACAAACCTAGTTATGCATTTTTCAAGCAAACTATAGGCCGTAGTCTAGGCTAGTGCTTTTAAAAATGAAAAAGCCCAGGAAAGAAGCATTTTCGTGCAAGCTGGGAAGCTAACAAGACATGTTGATGTTTGTAGTAATAAATTCTGGTTTTCAAATTAACTTAAACTTTATTTTCACATTTGATTGGCAGTCACACTTTGAGCACAGTGGAAACGTTCTTTATTGGTGTATTAGGAATAAACATTTTGGAATAAAAATGTACCTGGAAAAGTATACCTGGAAAGATGAATGAATGTGAACACTGGCATCCCATGCTCTGAGCTGGAGTAAGGATTGTCCTGCTGCTGTAGGGTGAGACATCTTCCCTCCTTGGCCCATGGCTAATATAAGATTTTATGCTGAAGTGTGATCTCTGTTTCCCCCTGCCCTCACTCCCAAACAGCTCATGTGCAGCTTCTACTGAACTCTGATTGCTTCATGCAGAGTATGGAAATAGTGAGCAAAAATACCGTGTTCATTGAACACTCCCAACAAAGAATATACTGCCATACATTTTTATTCCAAAGTAACGAGGGGCATAATGCTAATGATAGGCTCATAAGTTGTTAGTATAACCAGTGACTGACAGTGACTGGCATTTTCAGGGCCCTAGAGATTAAACACTGTAGAGTGACTGATCTCTACACTATAAATATGCACAGCCCTAGCTCTGATATGCACATAGAGGCCTATATCTTTCTCAGTGAGCACATTTCTGTTCCTTTCAGTTCAGGGAGAAACCACTTTCAGTGTGACTTTTTCTTTCATGCAACAGTCCATTCTGTATTCACTTACTACTGGCATTTACTGACTGGTTAATTTTAGGATTCCATATATGAAACCAGGGAAATTATTTAATTATTTGGACCATAGCACTGATCTCCCACACAAGCAAAATCATGCTCAAAATTCTTTAACATTGACTCCAACCATACATGGAGAGAGAAATCCCAGAAGTGAAAGCGGGGTTCAAGAAAGGAAGAGGCACTAGAGACCACATTGCAAACATACCATGGCTAATGGAGCACACCAGGGAATTCCAAAAGAAAATCAGCATGTGCTTTATAGACTACAGCAAAGCCTGTGACTGCATAAATCAGGGGTAGGCAACCTTTCCCCTTTAAGCGCCGAGGGACTTCAGCTCCAAGAATCCCAGGAGCTATTGGCCAATATGGGACTATTGGTCAACATGGCTGAGGCTTCTGGGAGCTGAAGTCCCTCGGCCCTTAAAGGGGAAAGGTCGCCTACCCCTGGCATAAATCATGAAAAGCTATGGCATGCCCTTAAAGACATGGGAGTGCCAACACATCTGATAGTCCTGATGAGGAATCTGTACTCAGGATGTGAGGCTACTGTCAGAACAGAACACAGAGAAACCAATTGGTTCCCAATTGGCAAAGGAGTCAGATAAGGCTGTATACTTTCACCCTATCTGTTCAACTTGTATGCAGAACATATTATAAGAAAAGCAAGCTTGGACACAAGAAGGAGGAGTGAAAATAGGAGGAAGGAATATCAACAATCCAAGATATGCAGATGATACCACAGTTCTTGCAGAAAACATCACAGACCTGGAACACCTGTTAAGGAAGATAAAGAAGAAAGTGCAAAGGCAGGCTTAATGTTGAACATAAAGAAAACAGAAATAATGACCACTGAGGACCTTCACAAGTTCAACCTAGACAATTAAGAAATAGAAATAGTAAAATAATTCTCATTCCTAGGATCAAACATTGATAGAAATGGGGACTGCAGTCAGGAAATCAGAAGAAGATTTAAGAATTGGGAGGGTGGCTATGAAAGAACGAGAAAAGATTCTAAAATTCAAAGATATACAACTCAGCACAAAAGTGAGAATAATGCAAGCCATCATATTCCCTATTACCATGTATGGATATGAGAGTTAAGAAAGAAGAAAATCAATGCATTTGGGATGTGGTGCTGGAGAAGGGTGTTGAAGATCCTGTGGACAGCCAAAAAGACAATCAAATGGGTCCTAGAGCAGAGCAAGGTGGAAATCTCCCTGGAAGCCATACAGAAATAAATAACAAGAAACTATCCCCGAGCCCCGAGCCCCTTCAACCTACCCGCTCTTTGATATAAAACTATAACAATAAAATCCCTATAACTAAAAAACAATTAAAAACAGTAAATAACAGTGGCAATGTCTAGGGGAGGTAGATCAAATGGGCAGTTCTGTCCAGGGCAGAGGGCAGTCTGGGAAGGCCCACTGGAAGAGAATAGTTTTTAATCACCTTTTTATAAAAATCAAGAGATGTAATCTGGCGAGTCTCCTCTGGCAGGTCATTCCAAATTTTAGGAGCGGCAACTGAAAAGGTCCTCTGGGAGGTCACCACCAGTCTAATTTTCCTTGACTGTAGTAAATTCTTCCCAGAGGACCTGAGAGTACAGGAAGGATTATATGGGAGGAGGCGTTCCTTCAAGTAAGCTGGTGTCAGGGACAGCCAGGTTGAGGACATGGAGGACCCTGAGGATGAGGATGCTGAGCCAGATCCCAG